TTTTGTCAATATTTGTAAGAACTAAAACACTTCCATGTGCGCGAGAGTTGCATCGATCTTAGCCTGCGGTGATTGATCTGCATCATCAACATTCTGCATCTTTTCGACATCTTAGAAACGTTCTATCAAACTGGAACTACTACAGCATCCTGATCTAGAACTCTTCTACTGGTTGTGATAGAGTTTTTTGTTTGCAAACATGTAGTTTCTTTACTTTTGAAAAGAAATGAAAATTTTTCTGATTTTGGGTAAGGTTTGATCTCTAGATCCATTTGACGTCTATTGTGGAACGGTTTTGCGGGGTGCACGCATCTATAGATTTCTGCCGTTAGATTAACAATAAGCCACTGAATGCTTTGCGTTTAGCTAATTTTTTTTTCAGAAAAGAACGAGTGCAGAACGATCAATGCATTCTCCCTCGATCAATTCATCTGAAATTGTCAATTCGAAGTCGCATTTTCCTTCGACAGATCCAGCTTCAAACAATAATTGTGAGAACAAAAGCGTGTTTGCGCAACCTCAACCGGTTGGTAAAGGAGAAGAGAACTTGAAGGTACTTGCATTTAGTATATGAAATTTATGACGTTCGCTCTTAGCTGTACTGAGCACTTCTGTGAATGAAGAATCAATGCGGAAGAATGGCAAAATCTAACTAAACTATCGATTCATAAATTTATTCAAAATAAATATATATTGTCTTATTAAAGAAATCCGCTCCGATTCAGACAGAGTCTTCGAATTCAACATCCTCATCTGCATCACAAAAACATGCTCACTCATTGCGAAGAAGGCCAACACATAGCATAGAAGATCGACAGGCAGCTGAAGAAGAAGAGGAAGCCGCAAGACTTGAAAAGAAGCGAAGAGATGCGAGAATTGCGAACAAAGACATCAGATGCAAGGTTAATTTTTCCGAGTTTCGCCATGCGCTATTTCTACGGTTTCTGTTTTTAAGGAATTGGTGGCTGCAACAGAAGCAGCTGACGGTATGACATCGGCTGAGTTACGGCGATGGACAGCAGCAGATGATGTTGCGTTGGTTACAGCCGTCACACATGTAGGTTTAGCTCATTGAGTAATTAAAAACATTGCTTCGTCGGTATTTATTTGTTCTACTTAGGTTCATGACCTAAGAGCTGCCTATGGTAGCATTAAGTTCAGTCGGCCATACTCCATGGAGGACATAGAGGAGAGGTGACAAATTGATTTGATTTAAAGGATGGCAATTTTTCTTCAGTGGCGTCTATACCTTGTACTTTTGATAGTTCAGGTGGTACCAATTGATGTACGACGACACACTTTCAAGACAAGCGAAAAAACGAATGAATGAGCTACCGGTTGAGGAGATTTTGAGAATTCAAGTATGTTTTATGTGCTGATTAAAAGCTTACTTCCGTATTTCAAACAATCTTTATAATTTTTTTATCTTCTGCTATTCTCTTTTTTTCTTTCTCTACATCATTCCATCCATATCAACCGTTGTTATACTCACACTATCATTTTGAGAAAAAACAA